TCATGATTGGGGTCAAAATCAGTAGACCACTTGAGTAAAAAGTGCAGCTTAAGACCAGGTAGATTAAACCATACCGGTATAGTATGAGGTTCATGATTGGGGTCAAAATCAGTAGACCACTTGAGTAACTTCATTGATTTTCCAGCAATGTTAAGATATTTTTTGGAGAAAGTCTGAGTGTAGTCTTCAGTCATGGTAAATTGAATCAATACATGTCTCCCATCTATGAGCCGCATTTTCCACTTTGCTGCTAATTTGCGATCATCAAAAATTTTCCTGATAACTTCCATAGGTGGATGCCCTTACGGAAATTTTTCAATAAGAGCAAACTTGAATTTCTCATTCTGGGTTGAAATTTCTAACTCAGAGAAAAAAAGTGTTGCTTTCCCAGTTTTCTTGCTTGCATTCTTAATAAAGGGACAATCACCTGTACCATCACGATACTTATTATAATTTGAGGGGAAGACAACCGCCATCTCCATCTGAGAAAAAAATTGTGCAAAGGAGCCTTTGTCAGGTTCAACCGAAGAAGGAAGCCCTATCACAGCAAGGAGAAGCCTTGCCAAGTCGGGCAGAGGGCAAAAATGACGTGTTGAAGACGGTCGGGGCGAAGCCGCAAATGTTGAAGCCGTGGAACAGTCGCAGCTCGACAAGGTCCACGAAGACAGACGAAAAGCCGCGCAGAAGACACGAACCACATAAAGGGTTGCCTTGACGAAGCTCAACGAAGACGACGCCGAAGCCCTTCGTCGTTGGGCAGGATGAAACGATGGAGCGTTGGAGGAGACGACGTGCTCAAAAATCTCAAGGAGAGATGCCCTTCGTCGCCGAGCACGACGGAAACGATGGATTGAAAGCTGAAGGATTCAAATCAGCGAATTGCCATCGGGCGAAACCCTAGCAGAGCAGCCCGCCACAGACACCATTCCTCTTGGGCAACATCCCCTTGGGAGGGAGAGAGAAAGAGAGAGAGAGAGAGAGAGAGAGAGAGAGAGAGAGAGGCCCATCCCTTGGGCAACATCCCTAACCTATTATCATAAGTCGGCTGCCCCTACTCTCCTCTTGGTTGAATCAATTCATTTGGTTTAGCTGGTTCAACCCCCCTAGGGAGCCCCGCGTCAGTAAACTAATATGCTTTGAATATCATGAGAAGCTATTCCTCTTTGCTGGAATAAAGTCTCCAATTAAATATTCCATTTTTATAATAGTATATCTCTGTATTATATAGAGAAGATTTTTTACCTATCGACAACCATATTTGACGAATGTTTTCAATAGGCATAGCTCAACGCAATCTGCAAGGGTTTCTTTTTCTTTTTCAACGTGTAAAGCATAAAGCACAGAGTGAAGAGAAAAATTTATTAAGTGCTCTCAAGTTTTACATATATATATATATATATATAATGTATATAATAGTTATTTAATTAATCAAATTTAAGCCACATAAGGTAGTGGTAATGATAATTTTGATGAGAGTAATTTTTGGCTGTTTGAAAGCCAAAAGAAAATCAAAGGTTGAAAGAATGAAGTGATATAGTAATACTTAAATATCCAAAGCTCATGAGATTGAATGGCAAACTAAAGATTGAAAAGTGGAGGCTGCATGAAGCGAGATAGTGTGAAGATTATGCATGAATAAGCATTATTGAGAAAAGCTTGTGAACATGGAACTACCAGTGCAAAAAATAGTAGTGAGAAGCATATAAGAACTAGTGTGGGCGTGAGTGTTCAGAGAAGATCATCCATGAAGCAGCTTGCTCTAATCGAATAATGCAAAAATATTGAGCAAATACTAAGTGACTCTGATAAACAATGAGGAGAAACAAACATTTATGACTAATTATTATGGTGAATATTGAACAAAACATTGAAATATGAACGAGGATTTTACTCAGAAAAAGAGTTGAGCTTAACACTACAAAATGATACGACTAAGTGATGCGACACATGCTTTGGTATGAGCTTGTATTTCATTGGCAAACATGGGGTTGGGCCGATGCATCACTTATTTTAGTTCCTAGATAATTTGTTGAAGTGCATTTTGAACAACTTTGGTTTTTGTACTCATTCAATTGCTAGGTGATGTAACACGAGAAATTAAGTTTAGAATATATTTTTACTTTATCATAATTTTAATTTTTATTAAGATTAAATATTTATGTGTAGCTAACTTAGTTCTGAGTTTCACATTTATAAAGTTTTATTCCATCGACTTTACCTAACTTATTCAAAATAGTGTATCTGGTAGAAATTGTGATACAAAGTTGATCCCATTTTTGTCTCTCAACCATACAAAATTGATCCCATCTTAAACCCCTTTTTGAAGGATCTTGTTAAGATTAAATTAGAGAAATATCAAATTTAGGAATTAAATGGGCTACTATATGAGTGGTTTGGGAGTAATTTGGAGTTGAGCACATTATTTTAAGTTGAAATCAACTTTAATTACCTTTTTGATAAAGATTTATTTTGAAATTTAAATTAAGTAGGTTTAGATAGGGTTATATGTTAATTCACTTTCATATTATCATGTAAACTCTATTTTTATACTTTGGCATGTAATTGAATCAATTGATGATGAATCGGGAATTGAAGCGTGTGCATTTTTTTTGGGAATGGCGAATGCCAAGGCAAACATTTGATGTGGGCTGGTTTTGAACTTTGGACATTGGCAACGACTTCCAAATACTTACCAAATAAGATACATGATAACCACAAGATTGAAGCTTTGTTATCTTCTCTGCCCTCTTTTGTTCTCTCTTGAGTTCTTTGTTCTTATACTTGATTCTTTTCTATTTTTCTGCCTCTGTGCATCATTTTGCATTTGATGTTTTGTTTTCATTTTTTTTATTTTTTAATATTCAGTTTCAAATTTAATTTAGATGTTTTTGTTTTAATTTTTTTTATTTTTTAATACTCAAGTTCAAATTTAATTTTCATTGTGGTCTTATGCATCAACCCTTTCTTTATACAATCGTTGGACATCTTTTCTAATTTCCTCGAACGTCCATAACGATTCACCCTGTTAAGCCTTACTGCAAAAGCTCCCAACTCCCAAAGTCCTTGCATTATGTATTTGTTGTGCCATTCACTCACTTCTTAGCTACGCCATCATCCTTCTCTACATGACAATATCTTCTACCTCCTATGTCCTCCGCATCCCTCTTGTTTGCTCATGTAAATTTTTCTCCGCTGTGTTTTGGCGCTTTTCGATTCACATTTGGCATCTCTTCATTGTTTGTGTTCTCGATAAATGTCACTTCCTAAAGCTTTCTGCGTCAATCACTCCCATCTTTTTTGCGATCAACTACCCAACAAATCCCCTGCTTACATCTTTTCTAGCAAGTCTTGCGTACTTCTTTTCTAGCAAGTCTCTTTATGTTGCCACTCTTATACATTGATTCCTGTTGCAATAGGGTCTTTGTGAGGCTTTGATCTAAGTGGCCAAAATCTAACCGAGGAGGGAATCATTATGTAATTATCAATTTGGCATCAATCAATTCTGCTTCTACAATAATTTGGTAATATAAGTTTCTTTAACTCTACATTCAAGCTGTTTATATATTTTTTTGTTTGTTACCATAATTTGGTGCTTCTAAGGAGATTCACATGTTCAAGATGCATAGATTATATGGGAAGGATCTATGGCATAAAAACATGCTTACGGAGTATTGAAATTGCTGATATTCTTGATGGAATCAATGGCATTTTTTTGTTGACATTTTCATGAAGGTCATGAGCATCTCCATAGAGAATATTATCTTAACATATGATTACAATCTGGTAGAGATTATTTGATGAGTTATTACTTGGAATGTTCTAGATGATAAAGGCGAGGATGCATTCAATTATGCTATAGATTTTATGAGGGTTTTGCAAATAACTGCTCCAAGTTCAATCATTGATGGAAATTTTCATTAAATTCTAAGCCACATGAAACTCTTGTTGAATAGTTGCTTGAAGTTCAAAGTGTTCATGTATTTATTAGTGGCAAAATTGACAAACTCCTTTTACATCTATGCCAATCACTCTAGTGACTATTTTTTCACCAACTTTCACTCTTTATATGCTTGAACTTGAGCAAGATGATTTAATATGAGCATAACTATCAACTTTATGTTTTTATGTTTGAAGATAAACATGGACTAGGGATTGAACCATTAATGTTGCCAAATGGTGCTGTTGCATCTGAGTTTGTGGAGTTTCCAGTCCTTGTTGGCACTTCCCAACTGTAATTTATGGAGATATAGTTACTTTATTTTACATTGTTAGGGTGTTGAGTTTGTGTTATCCACTGTTAAGCGATTGTGGGATGTTCTTTGGGGTTGTTTTGAGGAAGATGTCCGATGCATTATTTTGGGATAATAGGTCAAGATCGTGGGATTGTGGGATAATAGGTCAAGATCCAGAACTTCCACATCCTAATTTCTATGATCAATGTGCAAATGTTGAAGATCTGACGAGTGTTCATGAAGCGTTTCCTCCACCTCCACTGTGCTGCTTAGTGTAATTCATCAAGAAAAGGGTTTTATGTTGCTCCTGGGAATTGTTACCATACAAGAAATTTGGTTGATGGTTTGTTTTAATTTATTAAAATTTTAAAGGTATTTTAGATTTGAGCTAGCATTGACAATTAGTTTGGACAACATTTAGGTTAAAAAAGTTAATTAGGGTAGGATTTCATATGAAATTTTCTTGCAACCCCTATATTCATATTTAGGGTTAGTCATGGTTGCTTGTGAGTAATTGAATTAATTGATGATGAATTGAAATTGAAGCTTCTTTTTACAATATTTTCTCTCTGGCCTCCCCCGCCCCTTCACCCTCTCCATCTCCCTCTTAATACCTGGATCTCTAATTTCCTTTTGTCACTTTGTGTCATCACACGTCATTATCATTTCAAGTACCCATTTTGATAGGATTAATTTTACCTTTTCTTTCAGATATTTGAATTACTTCTTGCTTTAAGCTTTTAGCATATTCAAACTATCTTTTTCTAGGGAGAGCAAAAGTCACCTGGAATCATACCATTAGCCATAAAGGATGTGTTCAGCATCATTCAAGAGGTAATTTATGCAACTCTGTATGAAATAAATTTTTTTGTTTATCTAATTCCATTAGATACTGTGAATGACTTACGTTTATATTTTACTTCAGACCCCAGGCAGAGAATTTCTTCTTCGTGTTTCATATCTTGAGATCTATAATGAGGTGAGGGATCATTTTTTTAAACACCCAATAACATTATTCTGGGCTGCTAATTGATCATTGTCCTCAGTGCAATTTGTTTACTTAAAATGTATTTTTAATGTATTTTTGAAGCCCTTTGCAACTTGATTTATTTTTTGGTATACCGTTTTCTTCAAATTTAATTGTCCGTGCACTGGTTTTCAGCAAGTTTTATCGTGATAGTAGCTTGAAGTAGTTACCTAATCTGACGGCTATGTTGGATGAACATTATAATCGCCTGCTTCTTAGAGTTTAGAACACTTTAATAAATACTTTTGTATGCTGGAATTGTTTTCTATACATAATACTAGGGAGAATATTTTTTATTTGGGCATTATTCATTTGTGTTTTACCTTTTGGACTACTGGCTTGTTACAGTTAATTCCGTCCGATTTGTCCTACAAGTGGTTCTTTGTAATATGATTCTGCTTTTGCTCGGTGCATTTCTAATATTTTGAAGGTTAAGTTGGTGCTTCAAATGGTGTGTTTTTATTCACTCCTTTTTGATGCCCAAGTGATTAACATGTTTGATGAATGACGAATAACGTTTGGAGCAGTTTTTATTCAATAGCCTTTTGAGCGTGTATTTGCTGTTCAGAACTCTCAAATGTGGAAAAATCTTTTCACTTCCGTTGCTTGGAAATTTCGTTGAATTCATTTGAAATGTTTTGATTCTTAATATACTGCTGTTGCAAGTAGGATTAGTTTGGCAGTTTTACAGTAGTTATTCTGATGGCCTCCATTATCCGAGCCTAATACTTGTAACGAGCATTCCTTACTATTACAAGGAAACAATAGCAGCTAATTTTTTGGGCTTAAGGAAAGAGTAGAAGGCAGCGTAACTAAGAATGTGAGGATGGATACAGGATAAAATTTTATGGATTTAAGTAAAAATATTACTTTATCAAAGAATTTTGAACATAAAATATGTAATAGATGTGCTAGTGAAACATAGATGGGCTAATGCTGGTATTGATCTGGTCTTGCCCAAACCCGAGCCTAAGATGAATGTATAGTTTCCTAATGTCTATATTCTAAAAGCCGATAATTTGTTATTTCAAGTTGGAATGGGCTATAAGGGGTGTATGAGTTACGGACTATTATTAACTCAAGAGTTCAGGTGAATTCCTGAAATCTGAAATTGAAGGTTCAACCAAGTTATTGAAATTCACTTTATTCTAATATTTACCGTAAACCCCACACTTGAACCCTCTATTTCTACTCTTTTCCTCCCTCTTGCTTCTCTCCTAGTTGCTTGCTAGATGGTGTTCCTTCTCTATTTAAATCGATGTTTCATTATCATATTTAGTAGTCATCATTGTTTCTGTGCCCGAATTCCTTACAGCTTTTAACTATTGAACTCAGGCTTTGTGACTGTTGTCATCGACACACCAATCTCATATTGGTTCCTTCTTTGCTTCTTCCCATTATTGCCGTTACCTTATGGCTTCATTGCTTGCTTCTTCCTATTTACATTGCTCTTTTGTCCATATATCTTGACCGCTACTTTGATGCCATGTTTGCTGCTGCTACATTCATTGCCCACTACAAGCTACAACAATGTTGTTGCTCTGCTCCTGTAAGACACATTTTTACTTTTTAGACGTCCCTTCTTATGCTACTATTTAGAGTAATTTTTGATTCATAGATGGCCTTAGGCCTCAACCAAATTCGGATCTTTGGTGCTTAATATGGTTAGGTTTGGCTGGATGTGTTTTTAAGTTATGTACGATTTAGATCTAGTTTTGAGTAGTATTCATTAAGGTCACTTCATTTTTTTTATTCAAGACCTACATTTTACTTTTTGAGTGACAATGACATTCGAGTTAACCAATCAACAATGGGAAATGAAAATTTTACTGCTGAAATCAAATAAGGAGTACAACCAATCATACGGAAATGAGAAATAACAACAAACATGATACAAAAGTCTGGGGGAGGTGGCGATCGGCTACGGAGTTGGGAAGTGGTGGAGAGTGCTGGAATGAGGATATGCAGGTGCTGATGTGAGGCAGCAGCATTACAAAGAGGGTGGTGAGTTGCAGTTTAGGGGAAGACAACAAGTATGGAGGGGCTGGATGGCCGAAAGGCGGAAAGCGGGCCTGTCCTCGGGATGATGACAAAGAGGAGGGTTGGCGGCAAGGGGCAACAGACTGTGAATGATCGATGGCTGGTAGACGATTGCACGAAAACAATAGTGGCTGTTTTTTGGTGGCCGCACCAAATACCATGACGGCGACAATGAAGGAAAGGTTGCGGAGGAGTGAGAAGGTCGAGGATAATCACCACCTCAGATGAGATGTAGTCAGTTACACACAAGTCTCTTATGACGTGGGACACATATGAGCGCGGGAGCGAGGCTGATGCAGGAGCATGAGATTGATGCGGGAACAGACGTTTGCGGCCTGGATCGGTTCAGTATAGCATCCGTGACAGCTAGTTGGCTCTTCCTATTGGAGTACCACCTCTTTCAAGTAGAGGGGCCCACTCCTATTTTTCCTATTATTATATATTTGTGTTTCAGACAGTTTAGGGTTAGTTTTTGTCATGTTTCTATTCAAGAAAACCATCAACGTCTTGGTTCCTCTCTTGTAGAGCTGTATCCAAAGGCGGATGGCGCTCCGGTTGTAAATCATCTAAGGTGGTGATTTTTTTCTAAGGGTTGAGTTTTGCTCCGTCTGCATCTCATTTTCGAAGGAGTTATTATCGTCGACTTCTTATCCTCCACAACCATCACCTTGCCGTCGTTGCTGCCTCCTTTATTCGCTTTCAGAACCATCAGACAATACTCCTGCTGTCTTTCTACAATTCTAGTCGCCAACCTTCACCTCCTCCACCTGCTGCCATCCCTTTCGGCTACCTTCTGCCTTTCTGCCATTCATTCTAGTTGCCCGTCTTCGCTGTCTAGCCATTCCCCCCACTATCGCAACTTTTGACAACCCTCCTTTTGCAGTCCCATAGTGTTCCATGCATTCCCTGCTTTTGCCGCCATCATTCCCACTCGCTATCTCCACCATGAACAGTTGTTTTCGACTGTTTACTTTTGTTTTAGCTCTCAAGCCGACCCCTACTTGCTGTCTTTCAACTCTCAAACCTCCACATTTCCCCACCTTAGCCCATTGCAGCCTACCACAACTTCCCCTTCTGCCTCATATATCCATCCACCGTGTCATCACCATCCTCTTGCACCAAACCGACCATCACCTACACTTAACCGTGTTTTCATGTGTTTGTTGTTGTATCTTCTTTTCAAGTGCGTGCGGCTGTAATTACATATTTATTTTCAATTATAATATGTATTCCTATTATTGTTTATGTTAACTTTGGTATCAACCGTAAACTACTCGTCGTCGGATATAGCCCTAGAAAGGAAGACCTGGATGTTGACAGTTGTTCTGACAGAAAACTCGAAGAAAAACTGACCTAAAACACAAAAATAACATATTTATAGCCCTAGGGTAATGAGGGGTAGTTCCCGCTCCTAATAGGAGGGATGCCTTTGCTTGGAAGGATTGGACCGAATTGGAGAAACCATTTTGTGACTGACATACCGCTCTACATCCCTCATCAATCTAGCCCAAAAAAATGATCCTTCACTAATGTGAGGGACTTTTCTTTGCCAAAATGTCCTGCTAATCCTCCATTGTGACTTTCTGAATGATGGACTCCTTCATTAAACATCTGAGAATATACAATCTATTCTGGTGGAATTGGTGGCCATCAACTATGTGGAACTGTCTTGTGCGTCTCTCCTTACACTGTTCTCAAATCTCCTTGAAATCCCAATCTGCCTTGTACAACTCTTTCAACACTTTGAATCCTGCCAATCTAGCCTGCATGGAGGTGATCAACAAATGGTGGAGACTCAAGACATCTGCTACTTGATTTTGACTTCCTGCTTTGTGCTTGGACACAAATTGAAACGACGCCAAGAACTCAACCCAAGGAGCTTTTCTACTCTTCAACTCGCTTTGTCTGTTCAAGAATCCTAGAACCTTGTGATCTAAGATCAGGGTGAACTAACTCGTCAGCAGGTAGTGATTCTAGTGGTTAAGAGCTCTCACAATTGCGTAGAACTCTGTTGTATGCCAAACACTTTTTTTATGGACTCGGTCAACATCTCACTAAAGAAAGCTATGAGTTGTCCTCTCTGGCTATACATTGCTCTGATCCTTACATTAGAAGCATCACACTCCACCTCGAACAACTGGCTGAATTCCAATAAAGCTAACACTGGGGCCTATGCCACCTTCTCCTTCGGCGTGTCAAAGCTGGACTGAGTTGCCTCTGTTCACTGGTCTGTCAGGGTCACTATAGTGGTGCTAATGCTCTTGATTAACCTCCTGTAAAAGGATGCTAGCTCCACAAATGGCCTCAGCTCGGTAAAGGACTGGGGGTGTCCAACTCACGATAGCTTGATCTTTGTGTGGTCTATATGAATGCTTGCATTAAACACAATGTAACCCAAATAGAAAACTCGGGCTGTCATGAAGTGACACTTTGGGTGCATACAACCACTTAGATTGCAAAACCTCAAAAAACCCCCTTAGTCGCTGCAAGTGCTCCCTCTATAAACTGTTGTAGGCAAGGATATCATCAAAGTACACAACCACGAACTTCTCGATGTAAGCCCAGAATTCCTGATTCATCAGCCTCATGAAGTTGCTAGGTGCATTGGGCAGTCCAAATGACATGATGGTTCACTCGTACAATTCATTTCTGGTCTTGAAGCCTGTACTTGATGGTGATCTTGTTGATAGTTTGACTCTCAATACACATCCATCATGAGCCATCCTTTTTAGGCACCATCGAAGCAGGGACAACACTTAACTGGTACTCTCTTCACCAATCCCCTCACAATGATATTTTGCAACTGCCACTGTAACTCCTCGTACTCAGCTGGTCTCAATCTATAGGCAAACTTGTTTGGCAACTCCGATTCTTGTATAAAATCTATGACATGCTTGGTACCCCTAAGCGGT